GATTTGATTCATCTCCCCTTCAAGCCTTTCTTTCAAAGCATCCACCTTCTTGGCCGCCATCACTATCCGGAGTTTGTAGATTCACAAAATCTAAATTTGGGACTTCAAAAATAGAAATTTTCCTCTTTTCCAAACCAAAAACCACTGAAATTTGCCGAAAATAGCCCTTCACCAGTCCCAATACTTGTTTTGATACCAATTTGATAGAAAATACATGAGTTCGCAAGTAATCCTATCGGATTTACTTGAGTTCGCATGCAACCCTAATAATAATTGGTTCAAAACAACGAGAAAAATAAGAAAAAAATTGGACAAATCAATCTAGAAACGACAGATTGCGATAGTGAAAACAAAGCAAAGCAAAACTCAACGCAAGATACAATCGATCCTCAATTTGAGAGAAGGATTGTCTCTCTCAAATCTCTAGACAAGAGAGTCTAGAGCCCAAGTCGCAAAGAAATCCTAATGTCAATCAATCAAAACATAACCCCCCCTTAATCCTCTCATGCTCTTTAATACAAAAGCTTTCCTAATCTAATTTTCCTCCCAAGCCCTAGCCACCCCCTCCTTTTCAATTTAAATTCAAGTGGACAAGTGGGGCCCACCCTTTTGGCGGACAAAACCAAGGGAGGCGGACTGCTTCCGCCTCATGTAGAACAACTGAGCCGACCCTTGGGCCGGCTGGGCCAGTTCACCCTGAACCGGCCTAACATAAGCTCAATGGAATGTGTAGGTGCAGGCAAGCACATTCATAATGAAGGAAGGGACAATGGATAAGCACAAGCAATGTGGGGTAAAAATGTGTAAGAAACATTGGCAAGACAATAAGCACCCGTGAGCATGAATAAGTGCGATGCTGAGTGTATGAGATAATGGACATGCATGAGTAGAAGAGAGGGTGCATAGCCTGAGAGAGCAAGCGAGGGTGTGAAGGCAAGAACAAGAGGGATAGAAAAGGGAGAATTGGGTCTAGGGTTGAGATTTACGTTGCTCTGATGCTATGTTGAAAGGAAGAGAACTATGTTATGACTTATTAATTAATTAGACTCAAGGCTTTGAAAATCGGACCGGACAATGAACCAGAAAAAGAAGATGTTAGCGGTTCGATGGTTCGACCGAGGTCGAACCGGGGTCATAATAAATAATTATTATATTTAAAAAATAACCCAATATTTAATTTTATCATAGGATAAAAAATCTATAAGTTTATAATTGGCAATATTTGGTCTTCATTTGAGACAATGTGTTGGCTATTCTCATATAATGTAATAGAAAAGGTAGTTGTAGCCTGTAGCTAGAGTTCTGTTTCATATAATATAACATAAAAGGTAGTTGTAGCTAGAGTTCTGTGACTTTTGTCCACGTCGCTATCCTAGAGTACTTCTCCGACATCTTCTCAGCTTTCATCCTTATATCCGTCTTTTTCCTCCCAGCAAAAAAAAGCGACATCAAGCTCCCAGCTTTTATCCGACGAACTGTTACCCGATGGCGCCACTCTCGTCTCCTACGGCGGCATGGCGTGGCAGAGCTCGATTTCTTTTCTCCAGAAACTCTACCAACAGCTATGTCGGTATTTGGTACCACGACTACTCCGCCTCCTTGCAGTCGAATAGATCCACAGCGGAGCTATTCCACAGCGGCATGAATCGGGCTCGACCTCATCACCAACGTGAATAAGGCGGGAGACGTCGGGGAAGAAGATACGTCCGAATGAAATGATTTATACGACGGGCCGGTTATCAGAAACCGGGACCTGTTCGACGGTTGGGCTGTCGAACCGCCGGTTCGAGCGGTTCAATACCGGTTTTGTGCGAAACCGGTTTTAACATGAACCGTAACCGGCCGGCCGGCCGGTTCGTGGACCAACCGGTTGAACCGGCCGGTCCAGTCCGATTTTAAAAGCATTGAGAAGAATATCTATATATAGGAAACTACAACAGATATAAAAGGTAGGAAAATATCCTCAATTCTAAAGATATACAAACATAACTAGAAGTCTAGAATTACAACTCTTGTTAATCAGGTAATAAGTACTTTCCTGCTACTTACAAACAATATATGTGGATAAATGCATAAACTCAATAAAACTACTCACACTGCTTGGGAAATGACTCAACTAATTCTTAATCATATATTCAGATTTTCAGAAGATGCTAAGTAATCTACATATAAAAATAGATAGAGTCAGATGTCCAACTAAACAACTAATAAGTAACTTCGTATAGCATTGTTTATTATCTTGTCCTTCCCGACAGAGTATGTGTAAACACAATAAAACCACTACATTGCTTGAGCAATGCTCAAGCTAGTTCTTGATCATATATTATGATTTAGAAGATGCTAAACAATCAATATTCTGAACAAGCGAATCTATTTCTGATAAGATGAAAGTATACTCATGGTTCGAATGCCAAGATTTCATGTAGAAAACTCACAGCTACCAAAGGCGCATTTTCTACTTATTTGTTTTGCTACTTAGAACAAATTAAGGTGTCAAATAGAGAATAACTGGGTTGAAGATCTCTGTCTAGTATAAATACAATAACAGCTATAATGAAATTTAAAATGATATAAACCATGAACTCATGAAAACTCACAGTGGAACCAACAGTTTTGCTCCAAGATTCTCCCAAGTAAGCAAGATCTCCACTACAAACAAGGTGTGTATCATGAAAAGCTGAACAATTAAGGACTCTGACAACATCCCTTCCTCCTACCATGTGTTTTCCTGCCAAAATCCTTAGCAGAGTAGTCTTGCCTGCAGTGTGCATAAAATAGATAATAATTGAATTAATATTCAAGTGGACAAGTGGGGCCCACCCTTCTGGCGGACAAAACCAAGGGAGGCGGACTGCTTCCGCCTCTTGTAGAACAACTGAGCCGGCCCTTGGGCCGGCTGGGGCCGGGGTGGGGCCCACCCTTCTGGCGGACAAAACCAAGGGAGGCGGACTGCTTCCGCCTCTTGTAGAACAACTGAGCCGGCCCTTGGGCCGGCTGGGCCGGTTCAGGGTGAACCGGCCTAACATAAGCTCAATTGAATGTGTAGGTGCAGGAAAGCACATTCATAATGAAGGAAGGAACAATGGATAAGCACAAGCAATGTGGGGTAAAAATGTGTAAGAAACATTGGCAAGACAATAAGCACACGTGAGCATGAATAAGTGCAATGCTGAGTGTATGAGATAATGGACATGCATGAGTAGAAGAGAGGGTGCATAGGCTGAGCGAGTATGCGAGGGTGTGAAGGCAAGAACAAGAGGGATAGAAAAGGGAGAATGGGGTCTAGGGTTGAGATTTACCTTTCTCTGATGCTATTTTGAAAGGAAGAGAACTATGTTATGACTTATTAATTAATTAGAATCAAGGCTCTGAAAATCGGACCGGACAATGAACCGGAAAAAGAAGAGGTTAGCGGTTCGATGGTTCGACCGAGATCAAACCGGGGTCGAACAGGATGACGTAATAAATAATTATTATATTTAAAAAATAACCCAATATTTAATTCTATGATAGGATAAAAAATTTATAAGTTTATAATTGGCAATATTTGGTCTTCATTTGAGACTGTGTTGGCTATTCTCATATAATATAATAGAAAAGGTAGTTGTAGCCTGTAGCTAGAGTTCTGTTTCATATAATATAATAGAAAAAGTACCTGTAGCCTGTAGCTAGAGTTCTGTTTCATATAATATAATATGAAAAGGTAGCTGTAGCTAGAGTTCTGTGACTTTTGTCCACGCCGCTATCCTAGAGTACTTCTCCGACATCTTCTCAGCTTTCATCCTTATATCCGTCTTTTTCCTCCTAGCAACAAAAGCGACATCAAGCTCCCATCTTTTATTCGATGAACCGTTACCCGATGACGCCACTCTCGTCTCCTACGGCGGCATGGCGTGGCAGAGCTCGATTTCTTTTCTCCCGTAACTCTGCCAACAGCTATGTCGGTATTTGGTACCACGACTACTCCGCCTCCTTGTAGTCGAATAGATCCACAGCGGAGCTATTCCACAGCGGCATGAATCGGGCTCGATCTCATCACCAACGTGAATCAAGCGGGAGACGTCGGGGAAGAAGATACGTCCGAATGAAATGATTTATACGACGGGCCGGTTATCAGAAACCGGGACCTGTTCGAAAGTTGGGCGGTCGAACCGCCGGTTCGAGCAGTTCAATACCGGTTAATGAGAAACCGGTTTTAACATGAACCGTAACCGGCCGGTCGGCCGGTTTGCGGTCCAACCGGTTGAACCGGCTGGTTCGGTCCGATTTTAAAAGCAATGAGCAGAATATCTATATATAGGAAACTAGAGCAGATATAAAAGGTAGGAAATAAATAGGAAAATATCCTCAATTCTAAAGATATACAAACATAACTAGAAGTCTAGAATTACAACTCTTGTTAATCAGGTAATAAGTACTTTCCTGCATTGTTGTTTCGTATCCTGTACTTACAAACAATATATGTGGATAAATGCATAAACTCAATAAAACTACTCACACTGCTTGGGAAATGACTCAACTAATTCTTAATCATATATTCTGATTTTCAGAAGATGCTAAGTAATCTACATATAAAAATAGATAGAGTCAGATGTCCAACTAAACAACTAATAAGTAACTTCGTATAGCATTGTTTATTATCTTGTCCTTCCCGACAGAGTATGTGTAAACACAATAAAACCACTACATTGCTTGAGCAATGCTCAAGCTAGTTCTTGATCATATATTATGATTTAGAAGATGCTAAACAATCAATATTCTGAACAAGCGAATCTATTTTTGATAAGATGAAAGTATACTCAAGGTTCGAATGCGAAGATTTCATGTAGAAAACTCACGGCTACCAAAGGCGCATTTTCTACTTATTTGTTTTGCTACTTAGAACAAATTAAGGTGTCAAATAGAGAATAACTGGGTTGAAGATCTCTGTCTAGTATAAATACAATAACAGCTATAATGAAATTTAAAATGATATAAACCATGAACTCATGAAAACTCACAGTGGAACCAACAGTTTTGCTCCAAGATTCTCCCAAGTAAGCAAGATCTCCACTACAAACAAGGTGTGTATCATGAAAAGCTGAACAATTAAGGACTCTGACAACATCCCTTCCTCCTACCATGTGTTTTCCTGCCAAAATCCTTAGCAGAGTAGTCTTGCCTGCAGTGTGCATAAAATAGATAATAATTGAATTAATTAGCTGTAGAGAACCAAATCAGAAATTAAAAACACATATATATTTGGAGAGGATGATGATTTGCAAGCTGAAGTAAAGTATCAAAAGAGAAGTGTGAAAAGACATGTCCTCATAATAGAAATTTTAAAAGTGAATAATGAAATTTGTTGATTGAATGTATTTAATAGCTCGAATATGGTATATAACCAAATTGCTGAGAGATCTAGATGGCGACTATCATAAATCATTGAAATTCAGTATATCGTTACGATGTCACACTGAGCTAGACTAGATTCTATGGTTGATTTTCAATTTTATTCCAACTTTAATTTGTTTTTATATCAGATGGAATTTATATTATTTTGTGTGATTGGTTCTGTGCTTTAGGTCCATCATTATTGTTATCGATTGTTTGAGGCATTTCATGCAAATTGCAATGACGGTAATCTGATATTTTGGGTTTACGATTTACAATAAATAAGCCAAATATATGTTGGACAATTTCTATAAACCAAAGAGTGCTGTAAAACTGACACCATGGAATCCTATTATCTCCCTGCATTATCTTATTTGGGTACATCTCTATCCCAACAACCTCTCCTGCCACCCTAAGATCAAAGCTTGCAGATTACCCTCCATCTAAAATGTTCGGTCACATCGACCTCTCTCTCCAAAACTGCCAGACAAGTAGATCAAAAGTACCTTCGTGCTTCAGTGCAATCATTTTTTGTATTGAAGTGGGTTCTTGCACATCTCAAAGAACATGCAGAAAGAAGCTTCCAACTGAAAGATATCACCATCCTTTGAATCAATTCATTGTCAACATTTACTAAACCAAAAACCACTTCCAAATGCATCACCTCCACAAACCACCCCCAAAACATATTACTGCTCGCTTTAAAGTCGTCTAATAAGTGTTCCATAGTTACTACAATCATCTGACACCTGCGACTGTTAAAGCTTTTGACCTTATTAATGTTAGGACTGAAGCAATAGTGTAAGAATTCCTAACTATAATCTCTCCTTGAAGTTGATTGTCAAACCCCTAGAGTTTAGAGTAGGCGTAGGTTGCATTATTAATCAAGAAAGTCATCCTACTGCTTGCTTTCATGAATGGTTGATTGAGACAATGGTATTTTCTTTTTTACTTAGATCATCAAGCCTCAAGCTATTTATGGTCCCACGAGAAACTAAATGAATGCTAAGTAAATTATTTAACTTTAAAAATATGTTTCTTTTAGTGAAGCATCAATTTGGATTTGAAAATAAAGTAGTTAATTCTTTAAGAAAAACTTATATAATTTTAAATTCTTTATAGACGGATTAAGGAAGAATTCTTAACATGTCCTAACTTTAGTACATCTTATGCGTTTAGGATATGAACCATATATATTCCCCATATTGATTTATTTGTTATTGTTCACAGTAGCGGATCCATAGTGGGAGCCCTGCCCCCCATTAACCAATAAAAGCTCACAACATACAGGCAATAAAGATCCACAACCTACAACAATTTATTTTTAAAAATATATATTTTATTATTAAAGGAAAAGGAGTTGTTGCTGAGGATCGAATCCGGAACTTCTAGGTTCATTAATTAGCACTAAAGGCTTGATGTTGTTGTTGTTGTTGTATTAAAATAAATATTGATATTCTTGAAAGATTAAAATGTTATTTTACTATGGATTATTAAATAGAAAGTCAAAGAAATCATCTAAAAAAGATTAAGGGTATTTAAAAATCATCAATGTGTGCTCACTAATAAGAATTTAGAATTTCTGCCTGTGCACCTGATTGTTCACTTTTTAAAGGCGTCAATTAATGTATCCCTCATACTTCCTCATAAGATTTTCTAGTATTGGAGTTGAATGCTAAAGATATAGTCAATTAAATTGGAAATGGCAAGAACATCTATGCTAAGCCCTATCAGCAAATGCCAAATATTTTAGCTAGAAAAGGTTGCTAAAGAAAGATGATTTGTATACCCTTTTATTGTACCACATGTATAATGATAAGCTGTAGGACGAGTTAGCAAAGTCAGCCAATTCCTCAAGAGTAAGAGGATCCCATCTTGTTTTAAGTTAGATTTCGTGTTGGAGAAACCGAATGATGATTATTTATTGGTATTAATGCTGGAATGGCCTTGTGAACAGGAGAAAGGCTAACAATGCTTGCAAGGAAATCATGTAACATCATATTAATGCGCTTCTCCATCTATCATAGATGTTTGATGATCATATTTTGAAGGCTGAATTTCTAATGAAAGTTAGCCTTCATATCTTGAAGCTTGGTTTTCTTCAAAATTAATGATTTTTTTTTTCTTAGGTATCATCCGATCCACATGCATGAACAAAGATGTTGTAGCCTAAGAACCCAAAAAACTATAGCAATCACTAGAATTAGAGACTAAAGAGTGATTAAGAATAATTATGAAGGCAGTGTAAATAAATTCTTATTTCATCAACCTCAGAAAAAAAGATTACAACAAATTAAGCCTAGATAAACATAGAGAATAAGAAAGAAAATTGGATACAAAGATGACAACCCATTAGTGGAGTTTCTCCTAGTTCCCTTAAACAAGAAGTTTTTGCCAAAAAATGAGTCTCCTTAAAGCTCAAAGAGAACCAATGACGCCAGAGCTAATGCTAGGTTCTTTGTCATAAACTTCAGTCCATACAATAGCCAGTTAGCCACATAATTAGATAATTTGGCTTTTTATATTTTCATTAGGCCTATTACCTTTTAAGTAGCCAACAAATTACTATAAATAAGGGTTGTTGTCTGATTAATAAGATTTGAGTTGAGCTTTGTTTCATTTATGTATCCTGAAGTGTATTCAGGTGGGGGTTTCTTTCCAATGAGTTCTTAGAGTTGTGCTCAGCTACAGTCACCGGATCATTGATGAGTTGTCGAGCCCCCTCTTGTCCGGTTTCATTTGGTATCAGAGCCCAACAAGAGATCGCAAGAATGCCACCAAGAAGAGGTGGTGGCCGCCCTCTTGCTTTCCCCTTTCCACTGCAACAATCCTGGCAATGTTCTCTTTGTTGCTAAAACCAAGAGGTCTTCTTCTTGATGTAGTGCGAATTACTTCTACCAAGAAACCTTCCAACCTCCTCCTCTGTTGTCCGCAGTCTTTAACCTGAGACTTCCACCTCTCATGAACAACAAATCTACCTCCCCTCTCTAAGGTGTATACAAACTGTTGTAAGAAGTCATCCGCCACTTTTGTTCTCCAATTTAGATGGACTCCTACAAGCTTGAAATTCATACCAGCATTTAGACAGCTTGCTGCCTTTTAAATTCCAGTACAACCTACTGCCTTCCAAGGCTGAAATCAATTTTCCAGCCTTCAACCAAACCTTCCTCCAACTACACTCCAGCTTTCCAGCCACATGTAGACTCCATTTTGCTTTCCATCTTGTTGTTTCATCCACAAGATATCTTTCTTCACCTCAAGAAGACCATTGTCCACAATCTGTTATCTAGAAACTATTTCTCTGGCATTAGCACATGTTGTCCTGTCTTCTATCATCAAAGAAGTTGCAATACCTTAAAAATCTAAACCAATTGCATACTCCAAGAAGGCCTCTAATTCCTAGTCCAACCAGCGACAACCCTCCAGCCTCCATCCACCATATTCTACCTCCGCAACAAGCCAGATCTTTCCTTGACAGCAACCAAGAAAGCTTCTATCAGCATATTCTAGCCAACAAGAACCATAGAATTCTGATTCTTGGTCCAGAAATCAACAGTTAAGTAGAGCAAGAAGTGGCCTCGTCAAACTCGGCAACGACCACTTCAAGAAGCAGTGATTGAAGATATTCGATGGGAAATCACCCAACTCCAACAACGATTGTCAAGGCTCGAACGAAGTAAAGACTCAGTCCACCTAGACCAGGATTTTTTTGGCATCCGACCACAAGGCAAGTATGATTCAATTGAAGTTTATAGATCCTCTGTTCAAGCCGAATCCTTACGAACTGATGATGAGGGAGAGGGTATCTTAGAAGATCAGATCCCTTCTTCCTACAAAAACGTGATTGAAGGATCAAACCATATGTCATTCTTTGCACCATCGATCGAGTCCAACTTCGATGGGTTAAAAGATCCGTTGTTGAAATCGTATTTACACGTCTATTATAAGCTCGTATATGACATGTATAATGACGACATATTCGTTGGAATTCTTTATCTTGATCAGCCCACAAATGATGATGACGAGAGCAAGGTGGATGCCTTGCCAGAGTTATTCATGCATATCACTCCTGATAAGGCAACAAATACGCTCTCCATCATTAAGAATGGAATTGGTATGACCAAACCACATCCTAGCAATCACCTTGGTACATTCACGCAGTCTGACACAAAGTTCATGAAGGCGCCCTCTGTGGATGCTGACATTTGCATGGTTGATCCGTTTGGTGTCTGAGTTTAATTCAATTCTTGAAGAGTGCAGTTTGAAGGTGCTAATGAAGATGCATTCTAAGTTTGTCAGCTATCTCATTTGTCATCGACTCCAACTTATGTTCAAGTCTCTCCTAGATGGGGAGAATGACTCCGGGTGGATACGCAAACCGGTTTAGCCAACCAAACGTTTAGTTCAGTATATTTCTGTCTTCTAAATCTAGCATTGCAAATGTTTGAAGTAAGAACTTCCGCCATATGTTAGGTTAGAGATTCGAGTGCCAGAGGCTAGGTTAGACTACTTTTTCTATACAGATATTGAATCAGACGTATCCTCTAACAAAAAATTTCAGATTTTTGGACTATATTAGAGATTCCATTGTAAGGAAGAGGTTTACCAACCAGATCCATTAGCTCCGATGAGCAGACAGCGAGAACCAGGAGAGACCTTGAGGCTGAAGCGCGCAAAAATCGGTTGACGGCCATCGTAGGCGAACTGCATGCTCGTCACCTCGATCCCACCGCCGGATTCCGCCATTTCTCTGGCTCTTCGGCCCGCTGGCTGCCCACTCGCACGTCGAATAGATCTGACGTGCTACTCTGCCAAATGAGAAATTATTCTGTGCGTTCCAATCCCTGGTTAGGTTAATTTATTTTGTCCACCCATAGACATTAGTGATCCGAGTACGTGGCCCGGTTCTGAGGCACGTCTCGTTTGATTCTGAAATCGCGCGGATAAAAATTTTGGATTTTGCTGCCGGAAGTTATTTTTTATCGTCAAATAAGATTATTATCTTAACAAATGGTTCTTTTATCTTCAAGAAATCAAGCTCCATCATTCTTTTTTAATGTTTAGAGTATACTATAAGATTCAAATTAAGTTTATAATTTTTTATTTCATGTAAATTTAAAATTATTCACCATTTCTATTTCTCAATTATTTTAATTTCAAGACTTTGAAGGTATAAACGGCGAACCTGCATTTAGTATTCTGGGTTTCTTTGTAATTGGAATTATTTTGTGTGGAGTTCGAACACAGAGTTTTCATACACCCAATTTTACGATCTCTTTTATTACAATTGACCTTACATTTACTGTTTTGACTCCACACAAAATAATTTTTTGTTTGTAATTTTGCTTGTAAAGTTTATATATAAAGCAATGATGTATGTTACAAATCCTTGTACACGGTAATATCAAAAATCTGCTCCGGGATCGTCCAGGACGATCTGGATTGTCCTGGGACGATCAGTGGAAATTTTGCTCCAGAATGTGCCCAGTTTTGCTCCAGGTGATTTTCTGTACACATCGTCCAAGCCGATTTGGACATAATCGCGCGGATAAAAATTTTGGATTTTGCTGTTGGAAGTTATTTTTTATGGTCAAATAAGAATTGTTATCTTCACAAATGGTTATTTTATCTTCAAGAAATCAAGCTCCATTATTCTTCTTTAATGTTTAGAGTTTACTATAAGATTCAAATTAAGTTTATATATTTTTTTTATTTCATGTAAATTTAAAATTATTCACCGTTTCTATTTCTAACTAAACGTTGAAAGTTTTCAAAAATGAAAAAAAAGGTGAGACAAACATTATTTTGCATGTCTATTCTATTTAAGGCATTCGTCATAAGAATAAAGTTGAAGCATGCATAATAATCCCTAAAAATTTACCAATAAGTTTAAATCTACAGCCCCTCCCTCCAAATTAACTTCCCGATCAACCAATCTTGCAATCTTCGCACTATCCTGTAAACTTCATGTACTTCTTATTTGAAAGTTTTTAGCCTCCACGTCCTATGAGCATATCATCTCATCAAAGAATTGAACGTTATCAAAATCAATCTCCGTCTTCTTCGTCGGTTCCTCCAAAATTTTGAGGATGATTCGTGAAAAAGTTTTATTCGGTGAAAACGCTGAACTTTGAGAACCAATCGTGTGGTTTTTTTTTTTTCAAAAAAAGGAGCCCCAACTAAAATAGCAGGGTCGGGTCGTTGGGTCACACCTTAGTAAAAAAAAATCCACGTAGCTGCACAAAATAAATTAACCCAAAAAATAAATGTTAACCACATATGGAATCCGAAAGTAGAGCTACGTTCGGACTTCGCACAAAATAATACATGTTCTGCTCCATTTTCCTATAGAGGCATTTCATCGTGTTCATAGATATCTAAGAAGCGAATCTAATTTATTTTTAATATTTTTTAATCAAATACATCTTCGACGTATTGGATGTGTCAGAGGCATATTGGACGAGTATCGTATTTAATACACTTCGTACCTTTTTGAGGATAAGTGCCAGCACATCATAGGGTTATAGAAATCATAAATGATGTGGAAAAGAGAACCATCTCATGGGATAATAAGGAAATTCAAATTATAGGATTTACTAAATCCTATCTATCTGCAGCCAAACAGCCCCTAAAAATTACAATCAAAATTATCATGAAATTGTATTTACAGCAGCAGCTATTAACATTGCTTTCACTGAAAGTTGGTCTCAGCTTCTTTCTGTTTATAAGCAACACCCACAAAAAGGAGCTATTATTCTGTGCGGCACCGGACGTCCTATTAAGCACTGGGTATCCAGCGATATCGAGGGGTACCGAGCTCGGTACCAAGCAATGGGGTGACATTGCGCATTTTTATTGATCTCCGGACGCCATCTGGACTCCGCACATAATAATAAGGCCACAAAAAGGGGCAAAAAGAACACCTCCATGCCAGAACAAAATGGAAGAGAAAATGTATGTATTCACACATCACCTACCCATAATTTCCTGTATTTCTTTGGCTACCAAAATCTGTCTCTATTGACACTTAGATAGCCAGCCATCACTTTTCCTCCAGTATTTCTCATGCCATCTATTAGAAAACACCAAGTTGAGCCCAAGGCTCCAATGAAGAAATCAGCATCAGTTGCCATAAGGAAGTTAACAAGAGGATAATTGGTGCTTGTTTCTCTGCCAAGGCTGGCCTCATATGCGGCCATCGACATGTTTCCAATCTGGCGTGTTACATTTGTGTAGTAAAATTTCCAGTGAGGGTATAATCTTGTCTTGTCAATAACTTCCTGCACAAAAATTTATATTAAAAATTTTAAAAATCTTATATAAATGCAGAAACTTTGATGTTCATATAAGCATAAATAGGAAAGGCCCAAATGGTTCCTAGATTATTCGTATATGACTATTTTAGTTTCGGAATATCATATTTCTCTAATTTAATCCCTCATATATAAAAAAATAATCCCAAATGATACCTCAAAGATTAAATTATGATCAATATTATATCACAATTTCCATCAAGAACTTTTTGAGATACTATTTATCATCAATTTTAAATAATTGAGGGACTAAATTACATAAATATGATATAATTGGTTGCTTTCTTAATGCTTCTTAAAGCAGCTTTATTAAAGCAACTTTCTAGAAAGCTGCTTTAAGAAGCATTAAGAAAGCCATCCCAAACGAAGCCTAAAATGGCCAAATATGAATAGTCAGACAACCATTTTAGACTTTTTGTCAAGTATAAAGCTTAAGGAAAAATGTACCTGCATCTCTGTGGAAAGCCATATGCTGTTAAGATTAGGGAACTTTCTGCGAATTCGATCAGCAAGATGCATATAGTTTTCAAATTCAACCACCTTCATTTCACAAGCTTTATCTCCCATTCTTACATGAATGCTAAGAATTGGTCTTGGAATCCATGGTTTGTGGTTTGACCAAACAAAGTTTTCAATGTCGGAGAGAGAACTGTCCACACTTTCCTGGGTAAGTAGAAAACTGTTACAAAAAATTCTGAAAAAGGACAGAAGTGTCTACAATGATTTGAAGTGCAGAAGAATTTTATGAAATGCGCAATAAAAAAGCAAATTATTCAACCAATTCCTATAAAAGTTATGTAAAGTTCAAAACGTGGAAGACCATTCAACAAAAGTAGAACAATCCGCATAGCTTCATTAGCTATTTCTTAAAAGATACAGCATTTATTACATTTCATAAGCAATCTATACACGTTTTAACATTGAGATTTTGGTTTTGTTTGGAACGGCTTTCTTACTGCTTCTTAAAAAGGTTTTCTAACACAATTTTTAATTTTTAAACTATAAAGCTATTTTAAGAAGCACTAAGAAAGTCATCCCAAACAAAGCCTTTGTTGACATTTCCTGATTTCCTACCTATTATTGTTTCATACATGAAATAAGTTTTCCATTGAGGACATTAAGATTTCATTTGGGATTTTTATACTAAAAAGCTGCTTTAAGAAGCAATTAAAAAGCTATCTCAAACGAATTCTAAATTAACTTTTTTCAGAAACATAAGTGAACAATATCAACAAAGAATTTAGAAGCAACAAAGAGTAAACTGTCAGATTTTCATCCGTTATGGAAAATTTTGTCAGATTTTCTTCAACAAAATGTTACGACTGAGCTTTATTGTCTTCGAGGAAATGCAATATAAGTTTATTGATCAGATTTGTATTCAAAATAAGCATTTCAAGATCAACAAATCTAAGCACGGTCAAATTTTAGAATGATAATTAAGCCATATGATATGCAAACTGTGAAATGCGGAAAAGATGGGAAGTATAGCAAAGAATGGACATCATTTGAAACCTTCGGCCAACTCGGAATAGTTCTAAGAACCATTTCAGCAGCTTGCAAGCCAAAAGCTGAGTGCCGGGCTACATTAAGTAGTCTACATGTATACTCGCTTTGAAATCTCATTAGATACCGTAGTGCCTGAAAAAGAGGAATCAGCCCATACTAAGAGTAAAGCAAACAAGATAAGAGATTTTAAAAACGGTTAAAAGAATTTTTTAAAACAAAGCCATATTAAACGTTAGTGAAATTTATTATTGAAGATCATACGTAGCATCTCAATGGAACCAAAACAGTAATTGAGTTACCTCACTGGCATAAATATTCCTAACATTGGTGCTCAAATTAGTTATTGCATGAGAATGAGATTCAAAATTTATGATAATAATTTATGAAAAAACTGTGCTTCGCATTTCTCAACATTTCAAAAGCATGTTTGATTACATTTATAGCTTCTTTAAGCCATTCAACTAACCAGATGTATCTAGGGGTGTAAGTGAGTCAAGCCGGCTCGAGCTCGACTCGTTTATGGGCTCGCGAGCTGAGCTTATCGAGCTCGAGCTCAAACTGGAGCTCATTTAGTAAACAGCTCGAGTTCGAGCTTGAGCTGGCTCGGCTCGGCTCGTGAGCTCGCGAGCCGGCTCGAATAATTATTAAATTTAAATATTAAATGTTATATACATCATGCTGCAATTTTAAAGTTATATTGTGTTTTACAACCCAAAATTTTTGTGATATCTCAAATCCCGCGAGTGTATTTCAAAGTTCCCTCGTCCCTCTCTCTCTCTCTCTCTCTCTCTCTCTCTCTCTCTCTCTTCTCTTTGATAGACTAGAGACTACAACGATCTAATAAATGATGATGTAAAGTATTCATTTATTACCCCTGAATAATAAATGCCTATTATTCATTCTCTCTCTCTCTCTCTAAGTTCGGAAGGTGAACCAGAAGGCGAACCGGACTGCGCCGGAGGCTCAACGAGCAGCTCAAACTCGACTTTTGAGCTCGACTCGAGTTCGAGCTCGAGCTCAAGCTTGGTATTTGACACTCGAGTTCGCCTCGAACACCCCCTGACTCGAGCTCGACTCGACTCTTTTGCACCCCTAGATGTAACAATAGCATATTGTTCAATCCATGTATAAGAACTCATTATCAAATAAGATTCAGATTCAACAATACCTGTGCCCGCCACCAACGCCGATCCATTTTACGGTGATGCCGGAGTAAGTTTCCATCTACATCGGTTGTGGGTTGCAAATAATTCCATGGTTCACCCCACACTCTGAATGCCAATATTCATTCCAAGAAATTTTATCTGAATTCCTACTTAAGTAGACAATTTCATAAGCAACAATCTGAGAAGTGGGAACAATACCTGGGAATTCGTCCACCCCATATCTCCTTTGATGTGTAGTTATCCTTCACGGTAATGATATGATCGTCCCAAGCTTCCTTAGTCTTCATAAGTTCATTGGCACGATCCCGGCATTCTTGAGCGGCCTCAGGGAAAAAATAGCAAGACCAATGAGCATGTGATGAACCTAGTACATGAATGACGTTAATCAGGTAGACCTATGTTTCAAAATCAAACAGAAATTGTGTTAGCCAACATCAAAATTCGTGGCTGTTTGGTAGCAGGATTTAGGCCGGATTTGAGCTGGATTTGAGCGAAATCTAGCCAAACGGCCTAAAATGCAAAACCAAATATCATGGCAAACGAAATCCGGTGTAGACAGAAAATTCCGCCGATTCGCTATGAATCCTGGATTTCCGAAACCCTCTATTTTGCCGAATTTATAAAATCCATGGTACTAGAGGAAGAGTCAGCTCGGTAAATCCTGCTCTATAGCCAAACAATCATATGAGATTTAAGAGGATTTATTATGAATGTTACCAAACAGTTTTCAGGATTTAAGCCCCACAGGATTTCTAAAATACGGATTCAAAGGATTTATGAAATCCAACTTAAATCAAATCCAGGATTCTACCAAACAGCCCCTTCAAGTTAAATATTTTAAAACAGATGAGGCAGTATGGTGGGATTATCCATTGATGCTAACGAAACATCGAATATAACTTGTAAGTGGACAGAATATGACACCTTGACAGCCGCCATGGTCTGCTCTATTATAATAGCCAGTAACAAGAATCCTATTTTCATTGATGGCGATTGCAAGAAGCCCTGCCATTCCTGCTAGTTGGGCTCCTATACCAAATCCCGGAAGCCTCCACCAGTCAGCGACTAGAAAACGCAGGTTGGGTTTATTGCAGTTTTGCGGGTGCTGATGAATCCACAAGTGCCGTTGGACTAGACGGGTGAGAGGAAAATTATCCTCATCTGATCCTAAAACCTACAATAAATCAATATCATAGTGAAATTATCATGTGAGAAAATTATCAGGATAGCAGAGAAGTTATCTTTCAAGAATATTGACAGTAGTAACATTAGCTGTTCATGGAAGCAATTAAAAAATAGTAATCACACAAAATAACCACAATATTCTGATTAAGGACCACGAAATGACTTTGCTTGGATTGAAGGAAAGGCATCCAAATGAAATAGAATCCAAAAATTCTGTATGTATATTGTAAATCTGCGGCCATTGATTTGGCCTTTTCAACACTTTTTAGATTCCTCACACTCAAATGCCCAGGGTCCTAACACAACCAATATGCAATTCAATAAAATAAAATGTTTCTGAATGAAATATGGGAAGAAGAATGGAAGATCGATTTATTTAGAAATACCAGTGATACGCCAAGGACCAGATTATTTATTATGCATCAAGCCATCAGCTTTGAGTAAAACTTCTTATTTCTCATAAAAATTATCGCTCGGGTCAGAAGCCTTAAATTTGAGTAATTCTATCTAATAAAATACTATATCTTAGTAAAAAATGATACATACAACAAAATCAAATATTTGGATGAAAGGCCTTATGTTTATGTAACTAGGTCAATATTATATCTATCTAAAAAGGATAGAATTAATGACAATTGATGTGGCCCCATTTAAATATGGAACTTTATATGCCATAAAAAAGTTTTCAGATAATCAAGCACAATGTTTAATGCAATTTTCATATCTCAAAACAAAACGTATTTGAGTCAAAAACCTCAAAAATTAATCTGAGACCTAAATTCTATTTTTAGTAAATATATAATCAAGGTAATGCAGTTCAATGAGACAAACTCAATGATGCCAAGAATGCTTGGATCCAAGTCCCAATGGCCTAAATCAAGCACTCAAACATAATTGAAAAACTCTCAAAGCCATTCTCTAAATATGCATGTTTATAATCAAGTGTCTTGATAGAACAAATTTGACTAAGATCGCTCGATTATGAGTTCATTTAGACATTGAGTTATCTCGAATATGTGAAATGATAAAGTGGGGCTTATTAGAATCATCCAATGGAGTGTATAATATTCTTATAGAAATGATTATAATGCCTCTCAAACAATCTACAAATTAATCTTATTCATACACATTTGAGGACTGGGGTGAAGAGAATTTGAGGACAGAGAGAATTTTAAAGCTATAACTATTGTTTGGAACCTCCAACTCGTTCACCTTTGGGATTTCACCAATCAAGGCTTCTCCCTTTCCTTTTCTGGTCGCCAAGTTTTCTATCCGGTTAGGAGGACAATTGTGTTGACCACCTTCAAGCACTTGCTTCCAACCTTTTCACTTGTCTATCATCAATTGATGCCTTGGAATCTCTCATTTACCTCCATTCATGTTTGCTCCTTAGAACTTAAGAGTTCCCTCATTGTACTAAATCCTTTACACCCTTTCGTCACTAGTTCGCATTGTTTATCAACTACTAACAAGATCAACCCTAGGCGTTCCTAATCAGAGTTTGTTCTCCATGGTCATTTCTTCTATCATTGGTACACCTTTAACTATTGTTGTCTAAGTTGACAATCATTGGAGGCAACATAGTCACCTCCGACGTGGAGGAAAAATTACATCACTGCACTTATGCCATAATGAGGGGCGATCCCTTATTCTTACGTCTCCAAGGCATGCCTTCTATGATGTCCAAATCATCAGGACAAGTGCACCATACCATTTGCATTTCTCTGAAGGATAGGCCATCCTCCAATCATCCAACTTTTTGATGACTGCCTTATGGCACCTGTCTGTCTTCAAGCCTGTCATATGCACTACTTTCATTACCACTTTCAAAACTACCTCAAGCTATGAAGCTAAATATAAATGCTTTCTCCCCTGTCTTCTAATTGGTTCTTTGGACACTATCCAAACTTGAACTCATGTATGAAAAGGAGTCCTCAATCTCCCTTCTTCCTCTTTTATCCCTCACCTTATGACACCATCGGATAAGATGAGGTGGACCATCCTTGTAAGTTGTACAAAGCACATTTTATAATGGACTCCTCCTCTTATTGCACTATATACATAAGCCACAAAGATGAACGAAGAACAACTTAGCCTTGGCATGTTCCTTCCTTCCTCTTACTTCCTCTTTTTCATAAGGTCACCTCACTTACCCTTCAAAGGCCAACTGGCACTACCTCCAATAACCACTCGATGTCCTCACTAACTCGAATGTTTTTATACTTTATCTCCTTCCTTTGGCCAAAAGTATCTCAAGTTACATGCTTGATCCTCATTGTCTACCTTTTCTCCTTAGACTCCCACCTCTTTCTCCCATATGGCATCAACCCAATGACGAACTTATTTCTATCATTCAAAACCATTGAATGGCATCATTATCTTCCCTTGCTTGTCAACCGACGCAACCCATCATCACTCTTTCTCCAACATAGGCGCCTACCATCATAGTCAAATAATGTTGATGACCATCGCCGCCCGTCCATCATTGACTAAAACCAATATATAACCATATTTTCAAAAACTAACACCAGGAATTAACATTTATCATCCTACATAGACCAACATTGCCCATACTCCATCATCCGTTAACACTAAAAGCCATTTATGCCCGTCTTTTGACACCTTTTGTTGATCATGCCAACATCCATAATATTTTCCACTGGTTATTCTCCAATATCATCATTAACCACAACAAACATCCATCACCATCCATAGTCTATGCATCAATATTGTTATGTCCAACATTCTCATTTTCACTTCTAATGTTGCCTTCGTCAATCTCAAAGAGAGGCGAATCATTGTAGTTCCTACATAAAATGGAATTGTTTTAACTACACCGGACCACATGATTTTTCTTTTCTCACACTTTCTACTTAAAAATCTTGTCACCACGTGTTTTGGGCTATTTATTTGTATGCATATGAGGTTCTTGTAAAACTCTAAGAAGAGAAAACTTGATATCTATTATTATGAATGTTCTGGCACACAACAGAACTATTTGGAGAGTGTCGTATTTCACATTCCTCTTTATCTACTTCACCAAGTAATGAGTAAGATAAGAAATAAATTTATGTAATCTCTTTACAAATTAGAGTTTTACCAAACATACTACTTAATCAAAAAGTTGGAAGCACAGTAGATTCTACAAACGTTCATGAAAATTTGACATACCCAAGGAGGACTGGCATTTTGGAATGCTGCCTGGAGCTTCTGTTCCTCTGAAGGGAAAGCAACTCTAAACAACTCCAGGCCTAATTTCCCCTTCCATAATGGCCATCGAGGCAAGCTTCCATTTTCTCCACGCATATCAAGAATTTTATTGATTTCTACATTCATTTTGCAGTCCTCCACATAAGGAGGTCTAGGCAAACTTGTTCTATTTGGCCCTCTGTTGAAGAACTCTCCATAGGAGTCCTTTGAGTCATCAAGCACGGCAGTCCAAGCAGAGTATAGCAAAGCTGTTTTATTCACATCACTTGGTTGATTAGAGCCCTCAAACTTTGCGGAATTTCCAGTATCTTTGCTCGAAAAATCACATCCAGCATTTTTATCAACTTCTGCAGCAATCACATGTTGAATCTTGTCGTTAGTTAGATTGCACAATAGGATAAGCATATAGATCATTCTGATAATACTTCTGTAGTAAATGATGATGAATAAAGCCTAACACTGAAATTGGAAATTCAGTTTCCTCATCTAAAAAACAATATTTCGGAAATTGTACAAATATAAATATATAAATTTGCTAGCTTATCAGTCAAAACTTAAGTAGTTTTCCTCGCAAAACTATAGGCGTTTTAATAATTAGAAACCCATAACTCACCAGGTTTTGAGTCTACTTAAAATCAACTTGAGTCTTTAACAGTCAAAAAAAGCCATTCTATGCTAACTGAACTTTGTGCAGCTCGTCACAGTTTGGTTTGCAAACACATATAACATCATTCTATGAAATATAATTTGTTTTGTTTAGTACTTCTGTGAATTTACTTCGATTTCATATTTTAATTGGAAGCATTTTTTTGAAAAAAAAAATATTGTTTTATAAAACAGATTTTTAGTATAAAATTTTTTTGAGTTAAAAAAATTTTTACTAGAAAATTGTTTTAGAAAGCAGCAAGAAAGTTATCCCAAATGGTAAGCATAATACGGTTACCTAAACTGAAGGAGGAGCTTGAATTTGTAGAATCTGCTGCAAGAGAATTCGTAAATCCAATTCCAAATTCCGCAGCCTTGTAGGGATTGAAAGCAAACAGAAACAGATAAGCAATGCAAATCCCACAAAAGAATCCCAGAACCCACGTTTTGCACTGTAATGAGGCGCTCATCTGCACAGCTCTCTGAGAAATAATCCTCTCCAAGCTTTTCTGTGGTGTAGGTTCCATTCCTGTCCCTTCTTCTTCTCTACTTTCCCCAAACCCCTTCAATAAATCCACAGAGAAATCCTCTCTACCAATTTCCCAAACTCCTCATCAATTCCGATTAGTTCTTCCCTCCAACAAGTTCAATTATGCTGCATGCATTCAGTCATCTTCTACACCTGGAAAATCTGTGAATTCATGGAACCTATCTCCACTCCCCCTCTTAAATGAACCTAACTCACCTGCTTCCACCTGTAAATCACATGATGGTTTCCCTTTTCTCAGCAACATTGCATAAAACACGAAATCTTTCTAAAATAAAAGAAGAATCACAGCACAGTAAATATATTAACATTAGACATCATTAAAACATGTTCTTATCATTGCAAAAAAAGTTCACAAAACCTCGAGAAGAAAAGAGCACTTCTGCATGCAATTAGAAAGACAGGGTAAGGAAGACGACATCTCTTATTAAGCAGGGAGCAATCATCACCGATCTGAGACATCTCTTGTTGTTACTTCATGCAGGAAAGAAAGACGACAGAGCAAGGAGGAAAACAGAGAATCACCTGCCATCGGTACCTTTACTTCCTCTGTTCTGGCAGCTTCAATGCAGGAAAGTTCCTTCAAACCCCACAATGCTGCAAAGAAGAAAAGAGAGAGAGAGAGAGAGAGAGAGACAGGAGGTGCGTACAGTGGCGGTAGGAACTGAGCAATTATTATGTATGATGAGTAATTGAGCAAGGTAGTTACAGAAAAAATTTTATCTAAAAATATTCTCATTAAAATTTATTTATAATATATTCTTAAATTATTGTGTTCGCCATTAAAAAAAATCATAAAATTAAGTTAAGTTGATATAGAGATGAGGATGCTCCAATAGATGACGGCTTTACATTTAGAGAATACAAAATGAGTATTGTTGCGTCCTGGGCGGTAGAGAAATAAATAGTTTAATTGTACGAAAATCCAGCACACAATCAGATAAGAAAGAGAGTGTAACATTCATAAGAGATACCAAAGTTTTTAGGTTCATGAAATTTGAAGTAGCTCTAGTGGCAGATAAAATTGGAGTGAGCCGTCTTAGATGATTTGCTCACATAAAGTGTTGGTCTTTGATGGAGATTATTATGTCCAGATGTATTTGGATGCTAATTTGGATGCGCAACCAGTATATTGGGTGACATGACACGTCCGAACTGATCTTCTAAATCGTCTAGACATCACACCTAATAATTTTTCTTTTTAATGACCCGATTAGAAGATGTAGATGTATCATTTATTAGATCAGGCATATATTAAGAAAGATAGAAGCATACCTAAAAAATTTTGTTATAAAATAATAATGATAATTCTTTTTTTGCAAGTTTTGGGTTTTTAAAAAAATAAATAAATAATAAATAATGATGATTTTTTTTATTAGATTTAAATGAAAAGTTGATTTACGTTGCTACATAGCTTCATTTTGTTGTAGTATATTTTTAAATTATTATATTTATTTTAAAATAAATATAATATAAATTATTCTAATTTATTTTTGAGGTAAATCGTCATCATCTGCCACCATTACCACGCCATTGATCAAAATTGCCACGACAGTTGCCACTACCGCTTCCACTTGTTGCTAGCTATCATCGTCTGACCACTGCAGCCTTCACCGTCAGTCGTTAACAACCACCTCCGTCAGTCGTTAGTCACCACCATATTTAAATTTTACACTACAATCATTTTACTTAAAAAAATCATTTATCTTAATTTTGTTTACACTCATCCAATCAACTCAAAAGTATTCCTTTTATGATGTATTCATTTTTTTACCAAATCAAACAACCTCATAATATTATAAGTTATATTCATATTAAAATATATAAACATAATTATTAAATTACTATTTAGGTCTCATTTGATAGAGCTATTGATGCTGAAAAAAATAATTTAAAAAGTATTTTAAGGAAAATAGCTATAGCTAAAAGCTCATAGCTTTATTTGAATAACCAATTGTTTGCATGTTTTTTGGAACTAAAAAATGGTTTATTTTTTATTATTAAAGAGTAACATATTAATATATTAGTTAAAGTCATTTCACATTGTTTCTATATTTATATCATAAAAAATTTAAAATTTTAATTATTTTATGTGAAGTTAAACAAAATGTTTTATGTTGTTTGATTACAATATAAGAGTGTAAGCGAGTTAACTCATAAGTCGACTTAATAAGCTCAATTACATAATCATGTTCAAGCAAGGGCGGATTTAAGCTGGGGGCCGTGGGGGCACGGGCCCCCACTGGATGTGCGAGCAATGTCTAATTAATACTATTATTACTCTTTAATTACGGCCTAAAGCAAATTATTAATATTAGATATTTTTCCGTCATCCTCATTCGCACCCGTCTTACCCAAAAAAAAAAAAAAAC